GGTGTAATACACAACTGTGATCAATGTTAAACTTTACAACTTCAGTATCCATCATATCAATGATCAGCAGCAGCAGCAGCAGGATGTAGTGATAGAGAATAGTACCAACAATAATGGTATACATGGTGTAATACACAACTGTGATCAATGTTAAACTTTACAACTTCAGTATCCATCATATCAATGATCAGCAGCAGCAGCAGGATGTAGTGATAGAGAATAGTACCAACAATAATGGTATACATGGTGTAATACACAACTGTGATCAATGTTAAACTTTACAACTTCAGTATCCATCATATCAATGATCAGCAGCAGCAGCAGGATGTAGTGATAGAGAATAGTACCAACAATAATGGTATACATGGTGTAATACACAACTGTGATCAATGTTAAACTTTACAACTTCAGTATCCATCATATCAATGATCAGCAGCAGCAGCAGCAGGATGTAGTGATAGAGAATCGTATCATCAAAAGTCATACTTGAAATATTGTTTATGTTGGTGATGAACATCATGATGATGATGATGATGTCAACGTGAATCATATGATCCAAACGCTGGAATAGCTGAGTTTTTTTTATTATAGACGAATTGGCAGGTAAAGTCACATCTTTCACAGATGACACAAACAGTGAGAATTTGTCTGTTTACTGTTATGTCTCACAAGACTGTGATATTGTTGACAAACATGTTTGTTTGGTTAACTAAATTTGTTTTCGACTTGGGTCAATATCCACATGTAACATGTCACTGTGTGGTTATTGCTTGACAAGGCACATATAACTATAAATAGATAGAACTTTAAGAACAATTCTGCCATGTAGAGCACTCAATTATCAGTAGTGGTTAGTACTGGCAAATAGCCAGTAGTGAGTGAGTATGGTTTTACGCCGCTTTTAGCAATATTCCAGCAATATCACGGCGGGGACACTAGAAGGGGCATCACGCATTGTACCAATGTGGGAAATCGAACCCGGATCTTCAGCTTGACGGGTGAACACTTTAACCATAAGGCTACCCCACCGCCCCAGTAGCCAGTAGTAAATATTAACGGAAAGCTACTACATTTTGTAATTATTACGCCAGTTGTTTCTGTTTGTACATTTGTATATACCCCTCACGTACAGCAGCCGTTTGGAAACGTAACCCCACTTCAACTCTAAGATGAGAGGCAGTCTCAATAACATAAGAGCCTTTTACCCAATTACGATTCGTCTCGGTCTGTCTCATAGGTCATAAACCCCATTATTTCCCCATCCGTCCAGCCCTTTCTGCAATGCAGAAACCCATAACGATGCAAGTCTAGATTTCTCTGGGTTAGGGCCTAGATTTTCGAAACGTTCATAGCCCTAAGAATTCTAAACTTGATTGTCCAATCACCAAAATGTTCTGGACAGATTTTAACAATTTTGTAACTCAAGCCCTTTGTAAAACATATGAAATGTCAAACCATGATATTCTATTTGCAGTGGTAACCATTTACTCAACCACATGATACTATTAGCAAAGCGCCACATTTTCGTAATGAACATAAAAGGACACAAACCTAGGTTCACAATCTACAGATCATTATTAAAGGACGTTTATCAGACTGAGAAATTTATCGATGAGAAAAAGGATAACATGAAACATTTTGACAGAAAATGGAATGTCATAGATGCAGTCCTGGAAGTTAGAAATTCTTTCACATGCTCTGTATTGCTATATAGCATTTCAATTGTTTAATTTATATTCCTAATACGAAATACTTTATACTGCCTGCTTTTTATTATGCAATTTGTAACATTTTACTCAACCCATATATCTTGTTCAACTGTAACCAAGTAATAGGAATAAAAATCCTCAAAGTTAATGAAGAATTCTTAACTTTGATCATAGCCAATGTGTAAAGAATGGGCTTAAGAAGTTCATAAGGCTACGAAAGTTTCGAAAATCTAGGCCCAGGTTCTGAATCTCCCATCTCACTTGGGCTCCTTTGCAATTTAAACATACTTTTTCGTTTCTAATTTTTTATCAAGATTATATAATCAGAGACTAAGGGTTAGTCTGGATTCCTCTCTGCGCCAGGATTTGAGGACAACTCCATCAGGTGACATCATGTAAACGTAAAGATCAGCCAATCATATAAGTTCAGACATCTCATGTACCTATCTTATCGCTGAACTTGGTGTAGCCATGACGTCTTTTACTAGACACACACACACACACACACATACACATACACACTCGCACTCTCACGCTCACACACACAACTGAACATACGTGAGGGCATTTGTCATGGCACTCCAGATAAGCTACAGTAAAAAAATCGAATGACCCCCAATTTCTATTGCTAAATAAATTGCAAAAACTTTTGCTCTTAAGTATAGGACGTCACTTCAGGAGACCAGGCTTCTAAATTTGGTGCGAGCAATTCATTCAAGGTAGCATAAATAATATCTGTATTTCTGAAACATGTTACGAAAAAAAGGAAGTTTAGGGACCGTTCATACTTTATGGCTAGGTACCATAAATTATGAACTGTCCCTCCGCACCTTTTGCAATATATCATTGTGGATATCCCCGCACTCTGTACCTCCCTGAGCGACGTAGCATCTACGCGAGAAAGGTTTCACGGAAGGAATGTTTGCGTTCTGAGAGAGTTGTCATGAGTTAATACAAATAGAGATCTACGTATGGAGATGGTTATAAAATGAAAGCAAAACTTTTTAGAATGTCAAGTTCAAGAACCAATGTATCGGGTTGATTTTGATCTAGATTCACCTGATGTGGTCCTCCACGGAAGTGTCCTCAGACGTGTACTGTATACATCGAGGTATCCAGTAAAATGTCTGAATTTATTGCCAGTGATTTCTGCCGATGCCAAACTTCATGTGTAAAATAATATACACATATAATACATGTCCCTGCGTACATTTTTATAGACAGCACGTAGTTAGCACACTGTTTTCCTGTTTTTGAGCTGTAAAATAGGTGCGTTTATCTCAGAAACTACATATTCTACTGATCATTGGAAATTAATTAAGACGCCGACCATGGTATCCCTGCATGAAGGACTTAAGAGTTACCTCCCGTTATTTTCTCTTTCTGTATTTTCACAATCTTGAGGACGTTCGTGAGCCTCTATGTGCGTTTGGCAGTAAGACTATTTGTATATTTTGGGGATTGTTCTTCTCATCTCCAACCTCTGTCAGTCAGAAAGCGGGCGGGCGAAATATTTTTGATAAAACATAAAAACTACAAAAACAAAATTTTCAGTAGTTGTGTAACGTAGTTTATTTAAAATTTGTAATTAAATCACTTGGTAATATAGTCTTTAAAACATTTATGATGTACATGTAGATCAAATCGCTTTGCTTCAGAACTAATTTATTAATAAATGTGGATGTAGAAAGATAAGTCTTACCAGGTTTTATTATGTTCACAGTGAAACGTTTGCCTCTGTTCATCAAGCAATTAATGTACTTGGATAACCAGTGGCATGAGGTGCTGACATGACTGTTTTCCTCAGAGAACAGCTTTGGCTGTATTCTCCGCAGGGAGCTGAGAATTAACATCGAGCGCATCCTGACTGTGGGAATAATAGTTCAGATGGAATGATAAATGGAACTGGGTATTATTAATGGACTTAATTGATATTGTTAATTTATTGTAGTCTATTGCATTGTCATCCTGTATCGATCGAGAAAACGTACTTCGTCTTATTGTCATATCCCATTATAGTCTATACTGCAGTTTATATTTTCACCTACTTTTGAAGTTGTATCCTAGTTAGAGAACCAAACAGGTACGTTTGACACTTCCTGTTAAATATGGTGAACTGGGCAGTATTAGAGGACCTATGACTGTATGAGGTCGTCTAATTATATATATATATCAACTTTATAGTTGTGTTACAAAAGGTGTGATAAGTCCATGTTATGTGTCGATATCAGTATTGTACAGTATTGTACTTTGTAGCTGTGGAAAAAATAGTTGTCTTGTCATAGATACGCGTATTGCATACCATTGACTGAAACACTTGTTTTCCGTATAATTGTCCTAACGTGGCTAATGTATGAAATTAGTTTAAACAAACAAACAAAATGCAACAAACAACATTTTAACCTTTGGTTGAACATAGTTAGGAAACAGAAAGGGTGGTTTTCTGCAATGGGAACACACCGGGCAAGAGGAAACAAATATATGGCTTTTTACAAATATTATTTTGAAAATGCGAGACAAAACAACATTCTTTTTCAGAAGAAGTCATCCTTGGGGTACATATAAGCATCAAAATGTCTATGTTAAAGCCTACGAGCGTACTTTGTACATCTCCCATTATTTAACCATACGTGAGCTTGCCATACTTTGTGTATTGTGACTGAACTGACATACTAAAGACGGTACACACCTGGTGCTGTGAGATATATTAAACTGTCACAGGTGGACAGCCATACTGACAGACCAGTCGGTTGTCCAAGGCATACCATCAGCAGACTATGGCATCCGGGTCTGTAGATAAGTTTTGGGCATGTAATTAAAACGTCAAAACCGACTGAATCGTCTACGATGGACTCGGAACGTGAGGCGCTGACAACGTCGTAGCTGGGTACGATGTCTTTGGCGATTTGGCAACACGTACTCAATGTTTGTAACAAGTTGGTCAAAATCAAAACCCCTGTCAAAATATTAACGACGGGTGGTTGTTTTATGGAAAATAATCCCCAAACACCGGTTGTTTACTTTCTTTTGTATGCCAATTTAAGTACACATTGAGGGGCGGTGGGGTAGCCTAGTGGTTAAAGTGTTCGTGCGTCACGCCAAAGTTCCTGGTTCGATTTTCCACATATGTACAATGTGTGAAGTCCATTTCTGGTGTCCCCCGCCGTGATATTGCTGGAATATTGCTAAAACGGCTTAAAACTAGACTCACTCAATTATGTACACAATGTAACTAACAATTGACAACACGTGAATGTCATTTCAATTTACATGGAATACTTTCTTTTCCAGTAATATGCCAGAGGGAGCACGCGCCCCGTACCCCGGGTTCGATGCCACTGGGTCGTACCAGACGCCCCGTCAGATGCCGAGGGTGAAACCGGAAGCAGAAGAGATTTCCCGGAAGCACAAAGGTTCAATCAACTTGTTCGCAATCGACGACAAGGACACGGGTCCCGGGGCAGCCCCTCCACCAGTTCCTAAATGTAATACCTACGCAGCTAAGCAAAACTACGAACTTGGCCGGACAGGAAACGTTGGCACTCTGTTGGGTGGCAAGGTTACGCCCCGTCCAGACCCAGGGGCGTGTCCCAATGCCAGGGTCAAACCCGAGGCCTCGGGTATCGCCGACAACCACAAAGGGAAGGGCACTGCAGCATTGTTTACAAGCTATGGTAATGTACCAAGGTCCGCTCGATCGGAACCAAGGGTCAAGCCTGAAGCACAAGTCAATGCTTCTATGGATCTTGGAGGTCGAATGAGTTCGATTTTACACAATCCAAAAGATTTACCAGAGACCCCTAAACCTGTTCCAAGAGTGAAACCAGACGCTGACAACAATGCGTCGTTGGGGAAAGGTAAACAGATGAATAAGATCATGTGTAAATATGGCGAAACTCCACGGTCGATGCGGGGGCACCACGTGTTAAACCGGAAGCTGAAAACAACGCAGCGCTTGATCAAGGCAAACGGATGGGCAATTTGTTCACGAGTTACGGCAATCAGCCGACGTCTGCTCGACCGGCACCCCGAGTGACGTCGGGGGGTGAGGACTCGGCAAATCTGGGCAAAGGCGGCCGGATGTCCCGACTGATGCACGACGCCGGCAGCTTCCCCGCGCCATCGGCCCCGGCCCCAAGAGCAACCAACTCGGCAGCGAGGAGGATTGTGAAGAAAAACCAAGGCACCATGGGACAGATATTCTCACAGAGTTCGAAATGGCACCTGGTTGCCCAGCCGGGCCGAAGTACCAAAGCGTTCTAGAGTGAAATAAGGATGTTAGTTATATCGTAACATGGCTAGAACACTCTTGGTTGAGAACTGAGTAAAAACTCTTGATTTATGATTAAATGTTGTTAGTCGAATTTAAGAACTTATGGACTTTAGCTGTGAATTACGAAACTTGGGCCGGTTCAACCAAGCCATTTGAGCTGTACGCCAGTCAGTATTAAGGTGTATGGTTAAGGATCATTTAGCGCTAGATGGTACTTTGAAATACTACCTTTTCCATTGATATAAGGGACAGATATTGTACCAAAGGGTACTTAATCTAATGCGCACGAACATCTCTTTGTCTGATAACGTTCTGGTTTTAATGTTTGCTTCCACATAGAAACACAATGTATATTTGAGGTGTAAGTTTTCGCCATGCATTGAGAAAGATGTTTCAATATGGTTATCGAGCGCACAGTCTTCTTAGGAGTCTCCATGTGTACGAGGCAAAACAGGACCTGCAACTTGAGTCTCGCCAAATGTAATGACACCGTAAATATGTTATGGAGTTCTTGTGGTCAACCCAACAAATTGTTATAAGTTATGTTTGCATATGTAACTGTACAAACACAAAGTGTATTCAAACACATTCAACTGAGCTTTTGACCATTTACGGGCGGAAATGCCTTCGCAAATAGATGATGTTGCCGTCGGGAAATATGAAAAATGTGTCTATTTTGTACACATTTTGTATTTTGAGACTTACATGTATTTCTATATACATTGTTGTAAATATTACCTTTATATTTGTTTTCCCATTAATTTTGAACGGAATATTTAGTTTAACTTATAATGCTTGAGGAGATAAGACTATTTTAAAGCATACGAAACCTTGTATATTTTGCATAAAAGTAACCTCGGCGGCAGATGTGAAATTGCAATGAGATTAAAAATGCAATACATGTTGACATTTCTATTACTTAAACATTTTTTTACATGTCTGTAGTTCGTCACTGGTTAAGGGGCGGTGGGGTAGCCTAGTGGTGAAGCGTTCGATTATCCACATGGTTACAATGTGTGAAGCCCATTTCCGGTGTCCCCCCGCCGTGATATTGCCATATTGCTAAAAGCGGCGTAAAACTAAACTCACTCACTCATTGGTTGAGGTTGCAGTGTGTGTGCATGTCTGGTACATGTTGCGGTCCCCATGTTGCCAATGTACCGTCCGATCACAATGAATCCTTATAAATCACTATGCCCTGTGCACACCGCTGACCGAATAGTAGGATATATGTTGATCGAATTTGTATGTATATAATTATGCAGCTGCTACTGAAAGATGTTTTACAACCAACAGGACTGTGATTGTTTTATCAGGAAACTCTACAGTGTCTCGATTTGTTAGAGCTTCAAGCGCATGTAAAATCATATTGTTGCATTGCGAAATCACCCGGGCCCCGTTCCGCGAAGTGATCGAAGCGCTAAGATGATCGTAACTCCCATGTTTTAACATAGACTGATGGCTATCGTAGCGCTACAGTCGCATTGTGAAATGGGATGTTGTTCACTAGCCGTGTTTTACGCCAAACAAAGTACAACTTTTGTGTCAGTGCGTATGCTTTGTGTTTTAACATTTCATCTTGTTTGACTTTCTCTGCAATTTTCTTGGAATATATGGCTATTTCCTTGTTGACCTTATATAGATATATTTTCAGAGTACCTGCAATATTGTGAACCAATTTTTCCTCTTTTGGGATCTGTGCCTTTTCTAATTGTATCTATTTTTTTTGTTGGAATAGAGTATTTCAAAAATATTTTGCGAAGTCATAATATGTATAAAAAGCGGCCTTCACAGAGTTCATATTAATGTTAAATTGAAGACTTTCAAGAATAAATTGATACTTTGATCAAATTCAGTTTGTGGTTGTGTTTTTTTCATAATTTTCCCCCATCTAGTTCATTCCAGACAATGGAGAAGGTACAAAATGTATCTTTAAGGATTCGAACCCGAGGTTTTTTTTCTAAGAACTAACTGTGCTGATGTTCTGAGCGTGAAGACTTCCTCTGATTAATTTACAATGATTATACACGAGGAAAGGAGCATTGTTCAAAATTTTCAGAATAATACATTACACCATATTTAATAACAATCAACACGGTATTCGCCCATGGGTGTTTCAGGGCAGAACATGCCTCCAATGCTCCTGCTATTGTTACGGGTTAGAATTTACTGGGATAAAAGGCTTGTGAAACACAGCATGAAACACAGGCGAGTCTGTAATATTCAATTGTATATTGAATAAACAAGCTTACAATGAATGACACTTCAGATTTCTAATACAACACTATTGGGTCACAAATCTAAAATATTAACTCCCCAAAGTCTTGATATTTCCAGTAAAAACAGATGTACTGATTAAAGATTGTTGACAGCTATTGAAAGTTCAATGAAGACGAGGCCGCTTGAGAGGTCTTGAACCGTCGATGTTAGCAGACAGATGCGTGTAATCCAAAGCAGTCCCCTCCATACATATCAGCAACAACCCCTTTTATACCTATATACAGTTCCAGAGGATTCTAGCAAAAGCCACGCCACACCACTTACATTTAGAAATTACTGGAATCCCACCAAATCACCGGAAACGAAACAAATGTAGGGAAGGCATCTCCCCAACCCACTCTCAACCGGTGAATATACATAGCCTATGTTCAAGGTATGTTCAAATTCACACTCAACGCTTTAAACGTTTGTGACCATAACTAATAGTTAATGAATGTGACATTATAATTAACAAAAATGCATCCTCATAACGCTATCAACTACTGGTTTTTCGAGGCCTGGTCGATTATTAACAGCCTAGTATATTTAACATGTTCCTTACTACGACACACTAAGGAGGTGAGACACTCGTTGATTCCCGCATGCGTTTGTGTACAGATATATAGCATGACAATGAACGTGTGTCTGAGTGAGTGAGTGAGCGAGTTTAGTTTAACGCCGCTTTTAGCAAAATGACATCAATATCGTGGCGAGGTACATCAGAAATAGGTTTAACACCATCCCATCCCGGTAAAACCAGCCAATATTGACGCTTCTTCAAATATTTGACAAAAACATTTGTCCAGTATTCTGTATTGAAAATCACAGTATTTACCTCGATACTAATTGCCGTATTCGACTCGGGGCGGCATTGAACAACATTTGCTAAGCATGTTTTCTCCCCCTAAGTACAGTAGTATGAAGCCACGGTATTGATAGCTGTTGCTTGTAAACGGTGACAAACAGTTATTTAGTGATATTGCCACTAACTGTAGATCACTGTACTTACAGGGAGGTGAATTTAGGTGCTAGACTATCGGTACGTGAGTGCGTGTGTGCGTGTGTGCGCTAGCCCACTGGGATACCATGCTGCATTTTATCCTGAAACACCCGTGAAGGTCCAGACTAGGATTGATCTTCAGTAACCCATGCTTGTCGCAAGAGGCGACTAAAGGATCGGGTGGTCACGCTCGCTGACTTGGTTGACACATGTCATCGTATCCCAGTTGTGCAGATCGATGCTCATGCTGTTGATTACTGGATTGTCAGGTCCAGATTCGATTATTTACAGACCGCCGCCATATAGCTGGAATATTGCTGAGTGCGGCGTAAAACTAAACACACTCACTCAGTCACTTCACCTGAAAACCACAGACTATACTCATAGCCCATAAGTTTTCGCTTGGATGAACAGATGAGAGTCTCTTTCTCTTCCATCTTTTCTATCTCACCATGTCCTTTCCCAATCGCTCCTCTCTCTCCCGACCGCCACCGTGGTGTAGTCGTTAGAGCGTCCGCCCGGAGAGCGGAAGGTTGCGGGTTCGATCCCCGACCGCGTAATACCAAAAGACGTTAAAATATGGTACTTGTTGGTCCCTGCCTGGCGCTCGGCATTAATGGGTACAACAAGGACTGGTCGGCTCGGAGTCAGTATAATGTGTCTGAGTGGGGTATTCATGCTTCACTGCGGCATGGTATCTCAGTGGGCTAGCACTATAAAACCATAAAGTCTGGGCTAGTACAAGCAGCCGCATACACACGCATGCACGTCGTCATATGAGCCAAATATTCTCAAGCACGACGTAAAACCCAATTTCACCTCACCTCACCTCCTCTCTCTCCCCCTCTCTCAAAACTAAATACTATTATTATTTATTCGACACTTATCGTCGACCACAGAATCGCTCACTATAACTTTAAGTGTTCTCAAAGACACCTAAATTCGTGGACTACACAGGGTATATGAATGTATGGAATCCAACCAACCAGATACCCTTCACGTTCAGCTCCGATACGTAAACAAATTTCACTTTATACGGCAGGAATTGAAGTTGCCTGATTTTGAGAGAACAGCACAACAAACACCCAGCTACAAAACAAAATACACAACAAAGATAGAAAAGCAACAAAACAACCCTCCCAACAACAACCATAAACAAAACCAACAATGTCGCAAATTTTGAACAACTCAATGCACACTCCAAATACGGAAAGACCCGTGAAGATCCGGGTTAGAATTGATCTTCAGTAACCCATGCTTGTCGTAAGAGGCGACTAACGGGATCGGGTGGTCAGGCTCGCTGACTTTGTTGACACATGTCATCGGTTCCCAATTACGTAGATCGATGCTCTTGCTGTTGATCACTGGATTGTCTGGTCCAGACTCGATTATTTACAGATCACCGCCATATAACTGGAATATTGCTGAGTGTGGCGTAAAACTAAACTCACTCACTCACTCCCAAATACGGAAGGGTTCACAAATTATACAGCTGGTGATCCGAATAGGTTTCCACACATATCAGTGTTGACGAGGCATCACCTGTTTACTGACGTGATCAGTGTTTACGGAAGTCCAAAACATCGGACGACGGAGTGGACGTGTCCTGGTCCTTTTTATTTACACACAGAAATCAGGTATTTGAAAACTGACAGTGACACGTCATCCCGTGATCGATTTTTGTCAAACATCAGGTACTTAGTATCAAACTTGAATGTGACACGTCACGAACTTAGAGAATAGTTGTATCATGATATATATCACACACAAACACAATATATATATATATATATATTGCATAGATAAATAAAAACAGAATGCCTTTTTCTCCAACATGTTTCGTTCTATATTGTGTGTGTGATATATATATATAGCCACATAAAGAAACTGTGCATTGTCAAAATATTATCCCAGTTGATAAGTACGATAACAATGTCAAAGGTACATGTAAACTTTAATGGAGGGATCATGAGAACGTAACAAGTCGGGAGTATTTCAACTGAAAAGTCAATCACAATGACGTCCACAAGCGGGACGACCATGTCACAAGCTCAATAACGGGTATGTCCACCATCGGCATTGAGAACAGCAGTGCATCGACGACACATAGAGCCTATCAAACGTGCAAGGAAGGCTTGTGGGATGTCACGCAAGTTCTGTTGCAAGGTCAAGGACGATATCTGGCGGATGTGGAAGACGGCGTAGACGTCGATCCATCCCGTCCCAAACATGCTCTATCGGGGAGAGATCCGGTGAATTTGCAGGCCAAGGCAGTAAGTCAACGTTGTGGTGTTGCAAGAAATCCATAGCAACCCTTGCCGTATGAGGGCGGGCATTGTCCTGTTGGAATGTTAACCCAGGGCCATGACGTTGCAGAAAAGGAATTGCCACAGGTCGAAGAATCTGATCCCTGTAGCCCACACCAGTTAAGTTGCCCTGAACAATCACCAAAGGAGTTCTTTGGCGTGCTGATATTCCACCCCAAATCATCACGGAACCACCACCAAAGCGATTCCTCTCAAAGACACAGACCTGTGCGTAACGTTCTCCCACGCGTCTATAGGCACGTTGACGTCCATCACTATGGGAAATGCTAAACCTGGACTCATCTGTAAAAACAACGTTTCTCCACCAAAACAAGGGTCTGCGGACATGATTTCGGCACAACATTCGGCGAGCTTGTCGATGACGTTGTGTCAGGATAGGCCGTATGGCGGGACGTCGTGGTCTGATCCCGTGATGACGTAAACGTTGTCGAACTGTGTTGGGGTGGATACGGCGAAGTCCTGGGATGGTTCGGGCAGTCATCACTGCAGTCTGAAACCTGTGGCCAAGATGGGTCACCCTTATCTATCTGTCCTGTCTTGGCGTTGTTACACGTGGACGTCCAGAACGTGGCCGATCGATGACATCATTTGTGTTCTGGTAGCGTCTCACCAGAGCAAAAATGGTGTTCCGGTGGCAGTGGAAATGTGCAGCCTCTTGGCGTTGAGACATTCCCCCACGGACCATCCCAATGTCCTCATGACGTTGTGCAGACGTGAGCCTTGGCATGCTATGCGTTTCAATAGCCGTTTAATTTTTTGAACGCTCGCAAGGGCAGGGGTTGAGCTTTCCAAAGTGACAGTATTGTGTGGCATTCATTTGCTCTGTTTCTCTTTCCCGGAATGCACGTGCAACAACGTATTGCACGTCTCAAGGACGAACCCACTGACGTCACGGAACGTGGCACGTGCATGCATGTTGGATACATGTCACTAATCTCTGAGTTTGAATGCTTATGTGTCTACACAGGTTTGATAAATTTAGATTTTAAATTTTTCTATGCACAGTTTCCTTATGTGCCTAGTATATATATATATTGTGTGTGTGTGTGTGTGTGTGTGTGTGTGTGTGTGTGTGTGTGTGTGTGTGTAATGGTGATTTTACCTTGTTTCACCGAGGATGCTCATATGAGACTATTTTACAAATTAGTTTACAAACATATGTTTAATATACAATTTATTGATCAGCAGTATATCTAATGGCACATACACCATACACTACGATCATCAACAAGACAATCTACCTGTAACTGGCACTATAACAATGTGAGA